TTGTTGGGGAGCGTGGCGGGGGAGAGCGGCTCCAGGCTCTGGGGGCGGTTCCCGCGGGGAGGCGGGGGTAGTTTGGGCGGCAGCGGGGGGGTGGGCGGCGGCTGTTTGGTGGCGATGTGTGAAGGGACCCAGGCATCCGGGGTTTGAAAGTAGAGGTCGTAGGGATCCTTCGGGGCTTCCAAATGCATAACTGTGGGAGCAAAGGGGGGAGGTCATCACTACGCAGACAGGGCCTGTCCCCTCTGCTGCGCCGCTGACCAAGGAGAAGGCGGGAAAGACGATTCGACAGTTCTTTGGAAGTGGGTTTTCAAATTAAAGGGCGAGGGCGCCTGGGTGGCTCAGTTGGTTAAGCGACTGCCCTTGGCTCAGGTCACGATCCTGGAGTCCCGGGATCGAGTCCCGCATCGGGCTCCCTGCTCAGCAGGGAGTCTGCTTCTCCCTCTGACCCTCTTCCCTCTCGTGCTCTCTGTCTCTCATTCTCTCTCTCTCAAATAAATAAAATCTTTAAAAAAATTAAAAAGAAAAACAAATTAAAGGGCGAGGCCCCCAGAATCGAAGAGGGGGCGTGGCGTCGGCGGGGCGGGGCCTGCAGTGTAGAGGGCGGGGAATTCAGGGCTCCACGGGGAGGAGGGGAAGGGGCGGGGCTTGTGGGCACCTGTAGCCCCCAGCCTGTTGCAATTCCCAGCTGGGCTGGGGGCGGCGCTGGACGTGTGTCGCAGGGGGAATTTCGGAGAATTGGGGGGCAGGATCATGGAGGGGTCGGGGCTTCTATTGACCTTGGGTGGGGGACCTGCACTTTTTGGCAGGGCGCCCTAAAGTGCCAGGCGAAACCGGGTTAAGGAAACGTGCATTCAAGGAGAGGGACGCAATGAGGGTCGCTCACCCGGTTCATCTCCGTCGTTTGGAAGCCGGTGGTGTGCGAAGGGCCGGTGTCGAGCCGCCCGGCGGTAGAGACACCACAGCAGCAGGAAAATGCCGATCAGCAGTCCGGTCCCCGCGAGGAAGAGGCAGAGCGCCCCGCCCGCCGCGCCCCGGGGGCGCCCCACCAGGGTCACGCCTGAAGGGCGAGGACCCAGGGATTGAGCAATCTAAACTCCCAGCCCCTACTTCCCGAGACCCAGGAGTCCCGGCCTCCACCCCCTTCCACTCTCAGACCCCACATACCAGCCCTCAGCCTCCTCCCGCCCCAGACTCAAGAGCCGGGTCCTCAGCCAGTCCTCCCCGAGACCCAGGAGTCCTGGCCCCCGGCCCCCTCCTCCCTCAGACCCAGGAGTCCGGTCTTGGCCCCTCACCGGTCTCCTCCACTCGTTCCACCACGATGATAGTGCTGACTCTCTCACCTCGGCTGCGCCGCTGCGGGGCCCGCGGAGTGGCAGGGGCTGGCTGACTGGGGGAACGGAGAGGAGCAGGGGGGCCCGCAATCCGGGCTGAGGGAAGAAGGGCATCAGGCCCTTTAAGGCTAGAGTTCTGGGAGGCCTTCAGTTCAACTGTCCCAGGAGAAACCGACGTGGGCAATTTAAGGGAGTCAGGCTGGGTCACTGCAGGGGTTTCTGGTTTGGGACTCAGGGGCAGCTCATTTAGGGCAGTAGCTTTGTCCTTGAAAGGTGTAGTCGTTTCTGGGTGAGGACTGGCGGAGATCTCAGGGTCAGAGGTCATGGGGTTCTCTGTTGCATCTTGGTACTGGGTTGTGGGGGATTCTGTTTGGGGAATTTCAGTGGGGCTGGGATTGTGAGTTACATGGGATTCCGGGTGGGGGGTTTCAGTAGCGTCCGGATGGAGGGTCTGAAGGAATTCAGAGTTTGGGGTTTCAGTGATGTCAGGGTTATAGGTTTCTGGAGATTTGGGGCAAAGAGTCTTGGTGGGGTCAGGATGTGGGGTCTCAGGGGCTTCTGCATGTGAGATTTCGGTGGAGTTAAGTTTGGGACTTTCTGAGGATTCTTGCCGTGGAGTTTGGGTAGGGTCGGAGCTTGGGGTCTCAGGAAATTCTGGGTGTGAGGTTTTGGAGGGATTAGGTTTGAGGGTCTCAGGGGATTCTGGGTGTGGGATATCAGTCGGGGCAGGTTTGGGGGTCTCAGAAGGTTCTGGATCTGTCATTTTGGAAAGGTTAATTTTTGGGGTCTCCAGGGAGTCTGCTGTTGAGGTGTTGAGTGAGGTAGATTTAGGGCTTTCAGGAGACTCTGGGTGTGTGGTTTCTCGGAGGTCATGGTTGGTAGTCTCAGTGAAGTCAAGGCGGGAGGACTCAGGGGAAACTGCAAGAGGTGATTTGGAGGGCTCGGGATAAGCAGTCGCAGGGGAGTCTGGGTTAGGCACGTCTCCAGTGGAATTCTCAGAAGCGGGAGGGGAGGTCTGAGAAGGGTGGCCCATCTCAGGGAAGTCGGAGCCTGTAAGCGGCGAGGCCGAAGGGTCAGCCCTGGAACCCAGCCGGGCGAGGAGGAAGACGAGGAGGAAGACGATCGGGCTGAGGGACTTCATAGCTCTGGGAGACGCCTATAGCTGCGGGGGAGCGGGAAGGAAGGGGTTAAGGTTGGAAGCCTCCCGAGAACCCCGGCCCACTCCCGGAGGCCACGCCCACAGCCCCCAGGTGGGCCGAGATCCCGCCCAGCTTGGCGCCCGGGAAAGGAGGAGAACCCAGCTGCAACTCCCTGAAGGCTGTGGGGCCGTAGCCGCCGTAGCTAAGGGAGACTGAGGCGCGGGGCTTCTTGGGAGTCGTAGTTAATTTCCTTGTCTGTTTCCCCAAGGGGGTCCCAGAAAAACTGGGAAAGACCTCAGACCTCTCCAAGCCTTCAGACCTCCTCGACTTCTATTTCAGAGGGTGTAGACCTCCAAGGGGACACAGGATCCCTTTCTCCCCGCCCCCCCCCCAGGGTGCCGGGGACACCACTGCACAGTTGTTTACACTAGATGAGGCTCAGAAGGAATGGCTGTGGGCTGGGGGCCCCCGACACGCCTGGATCTGAGGGAGCAGGGAGACTCCTGGGACCTGGGCGAGAAGGCTGCTGGGGGTTTACCCCAGTTTCCAGAGGGTGGAGGGCACCGTGGGTTTAAATTTCTGGTTCCTTAGAGAGGAAAGGCCCGAAGGTTCAGATGCCTAGAATTTTGAGGGAGAAAGTTTAGGGGGGCTGGATTACAGGGGAGAAAGGAGACAGGAGTCTTGAACTCTAGGGGACTGGGAACTCTGAGTCTTGGGCCCTCAGCAGATAGGGGCCTAGTGTTCTGGATTCCTCAGCCTGCCCGGAGAGCTGTGGGGCAGGACTCTGGTCCCTCTGTTTATTGAGGATGGAGTTGAGATCCCAAGCTCTCAGGACTGGTCTGGGGCAGAGACACCTAGGTCTGTGCTCAGGTGGAGGTGGGGGTGGCAGATACCTGGGTAGGACAAGGTCACTTGGGGCCTGGGGTCTCTTACCTGCTCAGTGAGGTCCAAGATGACAGCAGGTGAGCAGCGCTGGACGCAGAGATTGGTGAATGCTGCAAAATGGCTCTAGGAGGGGCAGCAGGAGGCAGGGTCCCAGGGGTGCAGGTGACACACCTGACCCCCTCCCTGGGGATCCTGGGAGCCTGGCTACAGGCTTGTGCTCTTAAAGGGACAGAGATAAAGAACATCATTTCTGGAATAGGGAAGGGAATTAGGCACGGGATCATCTATCTGGTGGAGGGATGTGGCCCAACCAAGCTATGTTTTCTTCTGAAACCAGGGGTCTAGGGGTGTCTGAGTAGCTCAGTCGGTTAAGCGTCTGCCTTTGGCTCAGGTCATGATCCCAGGGTCCTGGGATCTAGCTCTGAGTCTTGCTTGTGCCCGCATGCTCTCTCTCTGTCAAATAAATAAATAAAATCTGAAAGAAAGAAAAAAAGAAAGAAAGAAAGAAAGAAACCAACCAGGGTTCTAGACCATCTGCCATCTCCTACATGCAAACCCAAGAGTCTAGATCCCTGGTGCCCTTTTATTTCAAGACCCAGGAGGGAATCCGGGTTCCCAGGCCTCTCCTCTCTGGGGAACTAGGAGCCCAGGGTCCCATGTCTTGCCAGTCAGATACCCAGATTGCTACTGCCCTTTGGGACTTCAGAACCTTGGCCTACCTCCACCTACTGTGTAGAGAGCACCCTCTTAAGAGCCAGTGTGAGGGGACAGGGCTTCGCAAAACCCCCCAACTCCTCCCCGGGAAGGCTTAGACCCATGCGCAGGGTGGGGCGGCGGCCCTGGTCTGTCTTTCCCCTCTTTGCAGAGTTTTGCCTGTCACTTTACCTGCCTTCAAGGCCC